CTAATTTATAACTCATCACTAGATCATCTGTTTCATTACCTATATTCTGTTTTTGACATGTTGTTTGAAAGTGATTGGTAAGCAAATTTGCTTCATAACTCAAGACATAACTATTATATTAGCACTGACAAATAAACTGTCACGTCATTGCGTATTGGACAAATAGGGCTAAGTGTCTCTGAACGAATTCAATAAACATGTTATATCATTTGATGACCGGACGACAGATGTTTGATTGTGCACGCTTTCACGCTACGCGGACCATTTGCACCTCATTTGGTCTAGAACGCTATTACAATAATAATTACAAACAGTTTACCACGTTTACTGCTCTTGCGCAATTTGAATTAGACTCGTCGTTGTCGCTGCTGTACTAGAAAATTTGCGAGCGAAAGTAGTTACCTCTCCGACGCCGCTTTAGCCAAATAAAAAATATATACAATCGCCCCCATTTAGCGATGATATACCATATCTATTTACTTGATTAATATTCATGAATCGAGACGCAATTTATTACATTTTGATTAATTTACATCGATGCTCTTCCTACTTTATCAATTGGCGAACGTCTGGCGCTAGTCTTATCAAAGTTTTATGGTTGTTAACATAATATTTTGACCACAACGATATATATTATTAGTTTACGTAACAAAAATGGATTTCTCTTCTAAAATATCGATTGATTCCGAAAAACGCACGTCGGAAAATGATATTTAGAATAAAATTTAGTTTAATGATTTCTTAAATTTACGCGAACACACTGAATAAAACTAATTTTACGGATTTTATCGCGTTTAATTAACTACTTTTACTTATTTTTAATTCCCGGCGCTTCGGGTGCTTTACAGCACCCATGGTCAACGGGGGGGACTGAGATGTTTGACGTCCCAATGTCATAGTTCGTCCGGCTACCTTCAGTTTTTTAATAGTAATTTTTCGGTCCGATCTACGCAAAACGAGCTTACAGTATCCTGAAGTCTTGCAGTTAATTATAGGATCCCAAGCAGATGGCAGCACCCATCCATCTTCTCTATTGAAATTGGGATGTTTTTTTAATTTCAGAAGCCTCGCGTATCATCCTTGGTAGGAATCGGTGTTCTTTTGCGAGGACTTGTGGTTTATCTAATCTGATATAATGGTGCGTTCCATCTGTGACCGAAGACTGCAGACTCCCCACCAAACCTCCAACTTTTATCTAATCGATATAATCGTTCCATCTGTGAACATATTCGCAGACTGCAGACTTCCGTTCCGTCTGTAAACATTTTCAACGGAAGTCTAAGGAACGGAACGGAAGTCTAAAGAATAGAAGAATAAAATTTAGTTTATTAATCTATACATAATATAAATAAAATCTAATTGTCTTTCTGTAACATCGAAGTAACTGGCGTTTATTAAGCTCAGGGGCTATTTGCATGCTAATAACACATAATCAACCGTTCAAACATTGTCTGTCTGTCCGTCCGGGCTGATCTTCGCAATGGCTGAACTAATTTTTTTTATGGGATAGGGTGACCAACGAGCACACAGTCGATCTGATGGTAAGTGGTTGCTGCGGCCTATAGACATCTACATCTATCCTCGGTTACAAATCAAAATGCAGATGCGTTGTCATCCGTGAGGACTAAGATGGAATGCCTCGTTTCCAGTAAAAAGGGTCTCCGGTGCTCTACACTCACTATACGAAACAAAGCAGCATTACGCTACTACATATTTTACGTTGGTATTCTGTGAGAATTGTATGAATTATGGCTCTAACACGTAAAAAAATCCAAATATTTAAAGTTTGATAAGCTTTGAATGAATTAAATAAATATATTTTAAATCGTTCCGATGCGATTGAATCCAGTGTTATTAAAACGCGATGCGGCAATGGACGCAGCAACATAATGATTTTGATAAGTGATACTGCTATTGCGTGATACTGGAGGCGTTTTACATACATAAATTCCCGTGGACAGACATCTAAATCTGGAACAATTATTTGTAGGCCGTACAAACACTTGTTCCGTGCGGGATTCGAAACCGCGCCACCGCAGCGCTGCAGGCAAATGTAGCTATTGCACTACCGAACAAAGTATTTTTTTAATTATTTAAAAATATACTAATATGATGTTATATAGGTATATATGAGCCACCACTTGATGATAAGTGATTACTATATTCTATGGATTGCTGCAACTAACTTAAAATAAACAAGAAGAATTCAGGCTCTCCCAGCAAACCGGAACAAAAAAGTAGGCAACAATGCTGTTTAACACTCGAAATGATCTAAGAGAGATAGTACCTATCAAGGCAAACTCCCAGAAAGATTTATTGCCGCTAACCCTCCTAGGTTATAGAGGTGTACTAATAAAATATTTTTTGAATGAAATCTTCTTAGAATTGTTGTGATTTGAAACTTTGAAAGAGACAAACATATACCTAGACCTACATCTATAGAGTTTAGCCTGCGAGAGAATAAGACAGAATAAAGTGTAGATCTCGAACTCAAAATGTCGTAGGCTCGAATCCGCCTTTCGACTACTGTCCTTTTTTATTTGACAAATTAACAGATAATATTAAATAAATAAAATTAAGCCGACATTGCGAAAAAATGCACCTTCTTGCATCGAATAAGTAGTACACGATAACACGACTATGACACCACTAACGAAACTGGAATTTTGATATAGGTAAATTCATGTCTTTATGTTGAATTTACTTGTTTAAAACACGATTGTATAATTTTGACTCGATCATGATTATTTGTGAAAAAGCCTCTAAAAACACTATAGTTGAAATTACAACAAAATCACTTAATATATATGCTATGCTTTGGGTAACTCATATATATATATATATATATATATATATATATATATATATATATATATATATATAACGTCAATATTCGTAATTTACTTGCTCATCAAAATATGATTACTTAAATCAATTTTTTTTTAATATTTTAAGATTCTGACAATTTCTACGCGGTCTTAATCGTCGCAGGCGCTACGCAATTTTAGACTGTATGACCGTGTCATATTAACCATATTGAGTAAAATTATCTTATATACTAGTCCATTTATATCAATCTACGCCCCAACCCCCTCTATTTTCGTACCACATTGAGAGTCAATCAGTCCATGTTCGATGAAATGACTTTACCTATAGAATGGAGTAGATGGCGCCATCACTAAGCAATTTTACTCGAGAGAAAGTATTATTTTGATTTATTACACTAAAATTAAGTCTATAATCAAGGATTGTAACAATTATTTGATGAAAAAATTAAACTGTTATCTTATATTTTATGCCGCACTTCTGGTTGAAAATGATCATATATTAAATAAATCAAATCGCAGAATTATACAAAAAACGCACATTTTTCATATATGTATTTTCTGTATGGAGTGTAGAAGTTAGGTGTACAGACTGTGTATTAAAAAGTGTCCATAGAAAACCGTTAAATAAGGGTGGCACCGCTGTAGCTACGGGGTAAATTTTAAAGAACGCACCGAAAAATATTAGTGGGATAGACGACTTTTTCGAGGTTATATTTACTAAATAAAATTATTTTAGATTTCAGAGCTACTGAGCAGTTTAGCAGCACACTTAACCCGTTGACAACTGCTAGTTCATTTCATCCCAGTAGCTACTCCAGCGCTGTTGTGGATAGTTTTTGAAATGTTATTTACTGCTTACAGATGGCCACTTTTTCAACTATTCTAGTATGGGAGTTGGTACTCCTTACTTCTACACTCTATAATTTTCTGTTTGTGAAAAACACACAGATTAAAAATATAACCTTCGATACTTATCACATCATGTGATTGGATGTTTCGATTAAACATAAAACAAGCTCGGCCTTACCGAACTTCCTCCAGTTGTCGATAACATGATACGACCGCAGTCCCGGCGGCTTGGCGCATCAGGAAATCTGTCTATGTATCTGTTACAGATAGAGCTAGTCACTCGTGAAGGACGACATTGTAACCAATGGAACCGAGAGGTCGCAACGACCTATCATAACATATACAATTATAATTTTATACATAACAATATCCGCGAAAGAAATTTAAACATGGTAGAGCCATGCTGCTGCTATATTAATTGTTTAGTTGTGGCACGAATGGATCGGCTCGACTGGGGAAGAACCACGCTCACATAGAACACCAGCGTAAAATAGCAGCTTAATGCTGCTGTGTTTTCTATGGTGAGTTCAGAGAACTGCAAACCCTTTTTACTGTAAAAGAGGCATTCCATCTTAGTCCTCACGGGTAACAACGCATCTGCATTATGATTCGTGATCGAGGATGGATGTAGATGTCTATGGGCCACAGCAACCACTTACCATCAGGTGGACTGAGTGCTCGTTTGTCACCCCTCTCCTATAAAAAGGAGAATCCATTACCAGATAATAGCATCCCGTGGGAAGCGATAGAGATAACAAAGAGAAATTGAAACAGGAGATGAGCAACACAATCTTTATGATAACAACTCAAATTTAAAGAGTTATTATTCCCATTTATAGTATGAAAATCTGATTTTGTGACTGTATGCTCGATTGTCACCCTTATTCTATTTAAAAAATAACATTGAATTAAAATGATAGTGTATAGGTAAACTTACTTAAAATCCTGTCAAAGGTTGAGAATTATAGTTTGAGAATTATATATTAGAAAGATTTTGTAAAAATATTAAATAAATAAAAATGTAATTAGAAATATTTTTTTAAATTAGTCATTACAGTGTGTGTGTGTGTGTGTGTGTGTGTGTGTGTGTGTGTGTGTGTGTGTGTGTGTGTGTGTGTTTGTGTGTGTGTGTGTGTGTGTGTGTGTGGTAGACAGCTCAATTGATTACGACGAACGATCCTCATTCTCAACACGCTGGCCCTCGACGCCGTGTTCACGCCTATAGAAAACTGCGCCGCTCTGTTCGCCGCGTGTGTCCACGACGTTGATCACCCCGGACTCACTAATCAATTCCTTGTGAACGCCAGTTCGGAACTCGCGCTCATGTACAACGATGAGTCGGTGCTTGAGAACCACCATCTTGCCGTTGCGTTCAAGTTACTACAGAACGACGGCTGCGATATCTTTATCAACCTTCACAAGAAGCAAAGACAGACGTTGCGAAAGATGGTCATCGATATGGTGCTTTCGACGGACATGTCCAAGCACATGAGTCTCCCGGCCGACCTCAAAACCATGGTTGAAACAAAGAAAGTAGCTGGGAGCGGTGTACTGCTTCTCGATAATTACACGGATAGGATACAAGTGTTGGAGAATCTCGTACATTGCGCCGATCTGAGTAACCCCACTAAGCCGTTGCCACTGTACAAGCGTTGGGTGGCATTACTTATGGAGCGTTTATATGTAGTCAGTGCTAAACCGCATGTTCTGAGATCGAATCTGTTTTAATACTCTATGGTATAAACTAACCGGAATTACATTCTTAATTATTGGCGACAATTTAACGTTGTATGATTGTTTGTAGCGGTCAGGTATAACCTTTTTACTGGTTAGTAGATAGATTATTTATAAACAAAACTAAAACTAGTTGTCATTAGGTCTTGGTAGTAGATCTTCTTTTCTGTCTATGAATCCGGTTGTGGTTAGATTCCATTACTGTATTCCAGTTTGACAGTAGACATATACAGACATATATAGACAGCCAGATAGCAAGATAATTACAGGCTGTCATCATTCTCTCGTATCCACCAAAGGTGACACAACGCATGCGTTTCTTTATTTGAAATTGGCTGCAGGAGGAAAAAGTCTCGTACATATTATGCAGCTTCTCTCATACATAATATTTTCTCTCACTGACCGTGCACCTGGTAAATTAACACTTCAAATTTAAATTAAAATGGTTACGGTATTATCATAATCAGGTCGATCGTTTACTATATATACAATTTCGCAAGCACTGCATCAGTCTGCTCGCTTCGTTTTAAAATACAAATTAGGTACTTGTGATGCAAAGTTTAATGCGAAGAAGTAAACTTGATAACTGTCCCGTGTATTGAATTATAAGGAATAATTATTGACGACTGTCGACCGCGTTTCCATTCAGACTTTGTAAAATTTTGAATAAGAGATCAAGGCAGGTGACACAACCTTGTAACTTTCGATATTATTGCATTGAATGATATACATCACAACACATCTAGACATTTCTTAGTAAGTAATAATACGTGTCTGCAAAAGTATGTACTTGTTTGTAGTAACTTTTTCCAATTAACAAGGAGGAGATTAATGTATGTATGTGTAAGATTAATGTGTCTTGTGCAAAAACTTACTCATGATTTTATTCTAAAAAGCGACTGTAGTTATACATCACTGGTTGTTGTTTATAAACAAATCCAAAGTTTCACTCCACGACCTAAAAATAATAATACGTAACGAGTATTCAATTATATTCAATTAGTCGTCTGAACGGATCACTGAATCTAGTTTTACTGACACTTTTGTAAATTAATTTCACCGTCTGGGTTTTCGATTTCATCTGTTTATAATATGTTTTTTCAACTATATTAATATTTTAAGTAATAATTTTATCGAATTTTTTAAGTAGTAATAATATATAGAATCAAAAGGATCGAACAAATCGATTTTAACACAAAATAAACACACACACACACACGCCCCCCCACGCACGCACGCACGCACGCACGCACGCACGCACACGCACGCACGCACGCAACACACACACACACACACACACACACACAAATTTCATCAAAATCGGTTGGATGGTTTCAAAGTCTAAATAACGGACATAGAAACATTTTTCGTTTTTTATATAGGTAGGTAAAAAAATGTATTGCATTGCATTTAAAATTACTCCCACACAAAGGATAAACGAGACCGGTAATAAGACAAATGCATAGGTGTCAATAATTGCTGAATTAATAAATCTTAGTTACTAAAAAAATTTGAAGACATTTTGTATAAACAAGTATGAAATCATATTAAAATTAGTTTATTAAAATTCTAATATAATTTACGTAAATATTAATGCAATATCCAATGAGGCGTAATAATATTTCATCATCTGCATCAACATTCATTACAGCCCTGAACATAGGCCTCCCCCATGTATTGCCACAAAGCTAGATCCTGAGCCACTTCAATTGTGTAATTTACCGTGAAGACCTGGATATTAATATTTTTATTTGCACGTTATCCAAACTATGCTACAGTACGTGAGGGTAATATGGTCATCCGGTTAATATGGTCACTTTCTTGTAACTCAAAAACTACAGCCTTGTTTGCATAGATGACTCTGTTATACGATAGCTCATCATCGGTCAATCAAATAATAAAGGGGCAAAAGGGCGACGCTTTATGGACGCCGTTTTGACACTTGACATTATAGTAAATATTTTAGTCGATTTTAGTATGGTGTAGTGTACTTAGTTTTTTTTTAAGTATATTTTCAAAGTATTCCTAATTATTGCCAAAGCTTGTTTGATATTTCTTTCTTAATATATTAGTTATAGTACACGATTTTGTGTTTTTGTCTCTGTCCTTCTCCAAATTTTGGTTTTATAGGGAGCGGCAAAGCTTAAGGTGACCATTATTACCTTCACGTACTTTAGTTAAAAAAATAAATACTTATACGTAACATCTCGTAGCGCTGGGCTCACAAGAAATCTGTTACTAGTCAAACAAGTAAATTGTACAGCAAATATTAAAATTGCAAGACGTTTTGTGCGTGACGTCCATGCCGCCGTTGTGCGGATACAAAACTAATAGCTATTCCTCGTCTGAAGCTTGCTTAACGGTGCGTTTGATGACTTGAATAAAACCGCGGGGGCTAGCAGAACAAACATTTTATGCGTCTTAAGTATTAGAAAACATCTCTGACGCGTATCCCTACGGGTAACTGGAAACCTTGTAGCTACTCATTTTTTGACATGTCGCTTCGCTTTAATTTTATTATTATCCTAAAAAATTACTGTTAGTGATAATTTTCTCACTAATATCTAAGAGACCTTTAAGTAGTATTCGCCATCAGTTAGACGTCTGAAATACAGACCAAAGATAGTAAATGGTATTTATTATATATAATATTTAAATGTACTATATTAAAAGTATATATACATTAGCTGTATACAGGGTTGCCACCCGTACTATATTATATAGTATCGTACTATATTTCAGTCAATTGTACTTTATATTATAGAAAATAATATGGTACGAAAAGTTTTTATCCCTAGCGCTTATTTTTTTAAACGTTACACTAGGGTTTTCTCCTGTATCGTGGGGGCGGTTTACAAACATAAATTGCACAAGGACAAACATCCAAACCCGGAACAATTATTTGTAGGCCATACAAATACTTGTTCCGTGCGGAATTCGAACCCGCGACCCCCAGCGCAGCCACTCATAGCTAAGCCACTGCGCCACTGAGTCGTCAATTAAATTTATATTAACTGTGGTGGGAAGTCTGGAACAAGTAAGTTTTACGGAAATAATTTTTCCATCATGAATTTAAAATTGAAAAAAGAAAGAAAAAGAGCATGTATATACTAATTTAATTGAAAATGAATTGTTAATTTATTTTAATATGAATCTAAATTGCTCAGACTCCTATAATTATTTTAAAGGTAAGGTAAAAGGTATGGCGGTTAGATCATTGACGGTAAAAGCAAAGAGCAATAACAAAAAAAAAAAAAAAAAATATATATATATATATATATGTATATATATATGTATATGTATATTTGTTATTGCTCTTTGCTTTGGCCGTCAATGATGACTCTACAGTCTCTCTAGTTCATGTATTTTTTTAGTTTTTTACCAGAATTTTACTATTTATGAAGTAAAGGTAAGGAGATAAATGAGCACGATACAGTCTACATGATGGTAAGTGGATGCTTTACCTTGCTTTTTCACGCTGGTATTCCGTGCAGGCGTAAGGCTATCTTAGTCGAGGCCGACCCATTCATGCTGCAGCCAAAATACTCTGCAGCGTGACTACCACGTAATTTATATTGCAATGGTCTGTTTTACCAAAACTTTTACATGTAAAACATGTTTTTTTTAATTTTGATGTCGTTTGTAGATGTTCGCTTATTTTTTTTTTATTAAACTAGTTGGTATCCACCAGTTTAACCAAACAAAGTAATCCGTGACTACTGCAGCTCATGAACACCAGCAAACAAAAACTAAGGTTGCAGATGCGATGTCACCTCTGAGTACTAAGATGGAATGCCTCGCAGCTAGGTCTGCCGGATCGGAAGACTGAAATATCTGGGCATATTTTAAAAAAGTCGTTTTTTGGGTTTGTTGTCTGGAGAAATAAATATTAAAAATAAAAAGTTTATTTTTTTATTAAGAGGCTACAAAAACACTTTAAAAAAACTAATATGAGTACACTTAGTTTTTAGGTTGCCACATATATTTGGCATTGGACTTTACTAGAGTCCACCAATTTGGATCCTTTAGTAGTATTCAGAAATTATTTAAAATTCAAACAATTGACTTCAAAGTTCAGTCTTATTACAAACTCGGCTTTTATTAAATCAAAGGCCACACTTTAACTTTCCGAGGAGCTGTCTTTCTGGAGATTTTGTCGGGTGTCTTCATGGAGATCATTTAAAAAGCTCGGAAGAATCCAAACGAATCCTGATCATCTGGCAACCCTACTCAAAGCCTTTAATTATACCGGGCTATTCTCTTTTACTATTCATAATATCAACAGTTTTGCAGTTTTTGCTCGGCAGTACAGAATTATGTTTGCATTTTTAGGAATTTTAGTTTTACTACATTTAGGGCTACCTTTACTACCTAGGAATCCGTCAGTTGTGACTGGTACCCCGACGGGTTATAGTAATTGTCATCGTAATTCTGTGCCGTAAACTACTATGCTAATACTGAACGTAATTTATGACGCAAATAAACTCATGTGAAACGTAAATCAGTAAATTTCATATTTGAAATTTATTGCCATTTACTGTCAGGTGAATTGTTAGCTCGTTTCTTAACGTAAGTTTACATAAAAACGACCCTTTGTCATGTACCTATTAAAAATCCTTAAATTAGCAAAAAATAATTGTGGGTCACTCATGGGGAAAAAAACTATCCTATCTCTCAGGTTGGACCAAACTGCACACGGTGTGACAGTTTAAAATTTAGTCAAATATTAAACTTCTATTTGGCACGCTTATTAATGAATGAGATCTCACGCTTTAGTACATTTTATAGGTGGTAGGCGTTGTACCGTGTTTATTCATGACACATGCCTGTGGTGGCAGGAAGTCGGCCGGTTCGGTGAATCGCGCCACTGCTACTAACCGGCGCACGACACTGGGACCTCGCATTCTGATTAAGCATTATCACTAAACTACATATTTGCATTTTATACCAATAAATGATCACATATTTCTTTGTTACTTTCATTTCATCATGGG